AAAAATGTAACTATAAAATCTGTTTTGAAGTACAAAAGCATTAACAATACTAAAAAAAAATCAAACTAAGATATAAATTGTTGTCTTGGCTTTTATAGTTTAAACATATATACAACTATAAACAAATATGACTTTATAACACATATAAACACATTTTACAACTATTGAATGATAGATATATTTATCAAATACTATGAAAATAAATAAATAATGATAAATAAAGCTATACATACAAAATGTGTTCACAACCTTTAACAGCAAATTTTCGAATGAAAATCTCAAGACTCATCTCGAAAATCTCATATAAAATAAGAACATTAAAAAATATAACAATATTTATGTTACATTTTTTTACCTACTATACCTTGAATAAGATGTTTATCAACTTTGAAAAACAAACTATTAAATGCTCTAGTTCTTGAAAATTCAACATATAGTTGACCATGAGAGAAACACGGTTTTTGAGATATTTCTTTTGTCTATATTTTTAATTTCGCGTTACGTAATATATAGACGATCCCTAAAAGAAAATACTTGAAACTAAAAAGATTTTATTTATTACATTAACCAATAACAACCAAGAGACAATTTAAAGAATTATATCTTACAATAGCAAATAATCAATCGCAGTATTAAAAAATACGCAAGAGCTCAGTAATTACATGAGTTTAATCTATTTTCCCTCTATACTAATTCTTATTTAAGTCTCATCTAAGAGAGAGAGAGGAAGTGTTTTAAAAACAGCGCGTTAGAAAAAGTAAAATTCATGCAATATATAACATATAACATGCAATAAATAACTGGTTTTGTTATGCTACCAATAACATGCAATAAATATCTGGTTTTATTATGCTACTAATAAACAGAATTATTTTTACCTTAACTAAAAGTTAATTTCCAGCATTTCTTAATTAAGTTCCAGCTTCTCTTTGACTGTTGACAAATGATTAATACTGTAAATTTCACATCATATTAAATTTACAAAATTAAAACCATGTTTCAACAGTTAGCAAAATAATCAAGTGATGACAAAGACAACTAAAAAAAAAAAAATGAACAGAATTATGTTTAAAATTACAAATAAAAAAAAAAATCATTAAAAATCGGAACTGTTATTACTTGCTTACTATAAATAGTAAAATTCATACTTTAAAATTAAAATATTAAAAATAGTAAAATTCATACTTTAAAATTAAAATATTAAAAATAGTAAAATTCATACTTTAAAATTAAAATATTAAAAATAGTAAAATTTATACTTTAAAATTAAAATATTAAAAATAGTAAAATTCATACTTTAAAATTAAAATATTTTAAAGTGTCTAATGTAAAATCAAATAATAGGCATCAACACCGCTTGACACTGAATTCTGGCAAAAAAGTTTTCTGTTCATCAAGCAAAATTTCTTATATTTCAACGACAATTAATTTTATCACGCCTAGATCTATTTCTTTCATATGACAACAATTTCAAGTCATCTATAACCATTTACACTAATAACTTCTTCGAGCTTAATATTATACATCTGTTATCAGAGCTTAATATTATACATCTGTTATCATTAAATATATTACCAGTGATTATACTACTGTTACAACTGAATAAATGAGCGCTTTATATTTTTACAACTGAAAAATATAAAACAAAATTTTTGACATTATTTTAATTTAGCAAAGAATTTAGACTACAATGGAAAGTTATTTTTACCTTCAGGCACAATCTTAATGCACAAAAATAATAAATGCAGAATCTTGTATAAAAAATGAAGCAATGTTAGTCTAAAGTAATATATATATATATATATATATATATATATATATATATATATATATATATATATATATATATATATATATATATATATATATATATATATATATATATATATATATATATATATATATATATATATATATATATATATATATGTATATATATATATATATATATATATATATATATATGTATATATATATATATATTCAAATTCTTTCTATTCTTTTTAATTTTTTCAATGAGATAATATTTATATAGATTCAGAGAAATATAAAATATTCTGATATATAGGCACATTTATGTATATAAACTTACCTGTCAAAATTTACAGTCAGTTTTCCATGTTAAATACATAAAATATATATCTAATATAAAATAAAACAAATCATTAAACTTACTCAAATCAGTAACAGTTTGACTGTCTAAAAATTTTTATTATTAACCCTTCTATTTAAAAAATGAAACAAATGATTTGAACTGACTAAAAAGCACTTTAGCTCTTTCCAATTGCACTAAAAAATAAAATAAATCTTGCTTTGCTAAGTTGCCTAGTTCTTAAGAATCTGAAAACAAATAAGTAAAAAACCAAGAACAAACAAACATTTTTTTTATTAAAACTACTCTATTTAAACAAATTAAATTAAACAGAGAACAACATTAATCATCTTTGAAAGCTGAAAAACTTTTCAGCTCAAATTTGCTTGCAGACTTTCTTATAAAACCACTTAAATAAAAAAAGCATTAAAAAAGCCTAGAAGTTATTCAAAAATGGTATATGTAGCATTGAACTTTGAACGTTGACTGGAGTAGATATATATTTTTAAAAAATTCAAAATGATTTGTTCTTCTATAGCAAATAAAACCACTATAAATCTGAAATTAAAAATTGTAACAAATAAGTAAATATAAAGAAAAACATCATATATGAATTGAAAATCAATGTACCTGATAGAGATCAGCTGTTGTGATACCTGAGTAGTAGTTGCTAAATATTGTTTTTTCATGATAAACAAAATGTATTTATAGCGAAATGGTCTTGAATGAATTTTAGTAAATAAATAAAAGCAGTGAGTTCTAGTAATGAAACTACCTATTAATCATTTTTAACAGCTGACACCAACGTAAAGATAAGCCAAAGGTAATAACATTACGCGAAAAATTATTAAAGATAATGCAATGTGTTTTCAGAATATTTATATTAAAGGCTAAGCAACACTTAGACCTAAAACAGTGCTTGACAGGTAAGAATGAAAAATATATATCTACACGTTTGCCAAGTCACACCACTTTGAAATCATGGAAACAACCTTATATAAACATATACTAACTATAAAACACAATACATTTTTTTTAATGTTCTATAACATATAAAAACACCTTATTTAACAATCATATACGCATTAGATAAAATACATATCATACTATTATAAAAACACATTTAAATAAACAACTATATAATATATATCACATCATTTACAATCATATACACATTAGATAAAATACATTTCATACCATTATAAAAACACATTTATATAAACAACTATATAACATATATCACCAAATACACGTATTTATCAAAAACTTTTTTAACTTCGAGCGTAATATAAACATATATGCAAACTTTTAACAACTATAAAACAATATTTATTAGCATCAATTATTTTTAATATAACAAAGAATGCAGATACAACGCACAACATTGTTAATAAAAATGAAGTTATATTAGTCAGTATATATTAATCTAAAGCAATGAAAAAGAAGAAACTATTTAAGAACAAAATTAAAAATTTCTAATAAATACATATTTATATACTTTAAAATGAAGCATAGAACACACTCTTTTGACAAATTGCAGAAGAAATTTACTCAACTTTCTATTTAGGTACGTGAGTATCGCGTTTTACGGAACCGAATTTTGTGCTAAAATTCTGTTCCACGTTTTTCGTAGTCTCTTAAAAGTTAGAGTGCTTGACGAAGGCTTTGTGGAATAACTTTTTAGTATTCGTTATCAACATAGATTATTTTTAGAAAGAAGAATATTTGAAGCATTTGTTCGATTGGTTTTTAATTATACTCACTTAATTTATTAACGAGTTTATTGATGTCAAAATTTTGGATGTACTTCTGTGGTAAATTTATTCATTTATCTATGCACCTGCCAATTTTCGTTGAAAAATATTTTGTAGCAGTCACCTTATTTCTTGCTGCACTTTTGTTACCTAATTTACATTTTACCTAATGTTGGCGCGGGAGACAGAGGGGTCTATTGATTGTTTTTATTTATATTTATTTTACATATATAGTATTCATATTAGCAATATTTGACTTATGTCGTAAATTGATATTGTAAATCTAGATATTTTAGAATAAAAATATAGTTAAAAAATTTGTACATTTAAAAGAAATTACTTTAATAAAACGATTTTTAGTAAATGTTAAAATAAGACTTGGATTTTATATTTGATTTAGAAATAAAATGGAGGAAGAAAATAAAGGTTTCATCTAGTATTTCATCTAGTAATTTATTAATAAGTATTAGATGTCAATTAAATTATTGATGAATCGTATCTAATTTGAAGATTGAACGCTGTTTTTATTTAATAAGAAATATCTTTATGGATAAGTTGTTTCGATATAAATTTATTAAACTGTTTTTAAGTTATCTGGCCACTCTCTAAATCTTTATGTGTAACTTAAATATTTCTTTCACTGTTTTAGATGCCCAAAGTTGTAGTGCAGCCGACAACATCAGTTAGTTACTTTCTGTATTCAATAGCTTAGTAGTTATTAAATAGATGCTATTATAATATATGTTCTATATATGTTAAATGATATTAGTTTTCTAATACAGTTCTTTATTATGCTTGTGTAGATTGTTGTTTAACAACATTATTTCTTGTTAGTTGTATTTTTGTATACTTAATACTTACATTTTTTTAAGTCACTCTTTTTTTTCTGAAGACAATTTAGAACAAACAATCAGTAAGTTAAGTTTGAATTGTTTTAGTTACTATATCATTTAAAGTATTTTTATGCTGTGTTAGTATTCCTTGTTGAATAAATGTTTTGATTTAAAAAAAATTTTTTTAAAGATTTAAGTTTAAGAAAAAAGATTGTTAAATGGTCAATTAATGTAGCACATAAAAACAGATTTACAAATTAACTGCATCGATGCAAAGTGAGAGATGAGATTTGCCAAAGACAAAAAATCAAGCGCCAAAAAATGGATGAAAAAGAAAAAAGAAAGTTAGAACATGAGCTATCCAAATTGAGTTTTAACGAAATTATTAATTCATGCAAGCGCTTGTCAAATGACCAACTATTTGATTTAGAAGATGTCATGTCAGATAGAATTGTTCGGAAGAAACTAGAACATGAATGGTACGATCCAAAAACATGCAAAAGTGTTTTATATAGCAAAAGAGTAGAAAAAGTTAATGAAAGAAAAAATAACTTCATTTACACCATTTCTTACTGGAAAGATGATGAAACTGATATTGGAGCTGTTGACTATTGCATGAAAAAGATCCAGCTTGCTGCTGATGTTGTTTTCAGTGAGTTACAATTTAATTAACTTAATAACACTGCAAGTGTTGTGACTTGTCAAAATAATGTTGCAAGTGTTGTGACTTGCATAAATAATATTTATTTTGAAAGAAGAAATTTGTTTATTAACCGAAGAAAATGGTTAGCTCGTTATCCATACTGTGTGGTTCTGTTAATGTGAGAATTACATGAAAGACAATAATATAGGTATTTGCTAAACTTGGTTATAAAGATGACATGTTTTTTAAAGCCAATTGACTTAATTATAGCCCCACAATAGTAGTTGTATAATTTTTTTAGTAATATATAACCAATTAAATAATAATATTAGGTTAGAGAGGGAAAAAACTCATAGTAGATATGTTGATGATGTTTTAAAGGGGAAAGAGGCATTCTAATGCCTCTTTCCCCTTTATAACATCATCAACATATCTACTATGAGTTTTACATTCATCTTCCATATTTAATGGTTGTCTGATATGAATTTATTTTTTAATTTATTTCCAATTTCATAATTTCATTTTTAAATTTATTATTCAAATTTTGAAAACAGTAATTGTATATATTTTTTTAGGATGGGTCGTTAGGGGGGGGGGCATACGCTTTTCTGTAATAGAAACACCACTTGTAGACGTAAGATCATGTATAACATAATTTTATATTGTATACTAATTTTACACATTTTAGTAAAGATATAAATATAAAATCAAATCGTTTTTGATACTAGGGTGTAACAAACCACCACCACCACACCCACCTCTATTGCTAACATACACCTCTCATATATTTTAATGGCTAAGTATAAATTTAAAACAATTTGTTTTTAAATTTATATTGCTTATGTCTTAAAAAAAAACTTTTTTTCTGAAAAAGTGTTCAGTTTCGTACGGGTATGGTGCTGGTTTGGTGCCCTCTCTGTCCGTCCGAAAGGCCCGGTGGTTAGAGTTTAACATAAAGTTGTAGCCCACTCTTACACCTATATTTTGACACTAAGATATTTGTTTTTCGATAAGAATTGACAAAGTTATGACAATTTAAGTAAAGAAAAACATTATTTTGACCACAGTTTCTTCAACAAATCCTAATATCGAAAAATCGGTACTTAAACCGTCATAACTTTTGAACCAATTGTTCGATTTTGATAGTTTTTTTCACCTTTAAAATACTGTAATAATCTTCTTTCTAATGATTTATAACATTATAGGATTCAAACAATTTGAAATTTTTACTCACGTACCTAATATGATATACATATATTTATATATAACAAACTAACAATTATTTAAACTTTTATTTTAAAAAATAAACAACATAAATTCTTCTTGAAAACAAGTGTATCAGCTCAAACTTGCTTGCTGATTTTACTCGAAACCGCGTGGAATATATAACTGCGCTAAGAAAAGTCAAGAAACAACTTAAAAACTCAGATATAGTGTATTTTACATAATGCAGAATCGTAATTAACAAAACGAACAATAGGCGTAACAATGCGTAAATATGCGCACTTATAATATTCATTCGGCTATTCATTATTAAGATATATAGTCTGGAAGCAAACAATAGCGCTTTGTTATTGTTTTTGTTCCAGAAATTACTCGTTCTCATTCTTCCGAAGGTGCGCAGTAAACTAAAACATCTCAGCGAAAGTATCGATCTCCTTTTTTTCTTGTTACTTTTCCAATAAATTTATAAAACTGTAATTTATTTTAGTGTATTGATTACAATTTTCTTTATTATTATTTGTTCTTGCAAGCTTGGCATTGTTAAAAAAAAAATTTATTCAAAATTATGCAAATTACATTGTCCCATGTCAATAAGACCTTGTCTAATATTACTAAAAAAGTTCAAAAGTTTAAGATATAAATATGTATGTATATATATGTATATATATGTATGTATATATATATATATATATATATATATATATATATATATATATATATATATATTTATATATATATATGTATATATAAACATATATATAACGACACATATATATATACATATACTATATAAATATACATATAAATGTATATATATATATATATATACACATTGATATATATATATATATATATATATATATATATATATATATATACATATATATATACCTATATATATATATATATATATATATATATATATATATATATATATATATATATATATATATATATATATATATATATATATATATATATATATATATATATATATATATATATATATATATATGTATATATATATATATATATATATATATATATATATATATATATATATATATATATATATA